TCTCTCTCTCTCTCTCTCTCTCTCTCTCTCTCAGTACGCGAAAAGGGAAAGGGTGGACTTAGCTGACCCAAAAGGAGTCACTTTTCAGCACCAATTATAACTAGAAAATGATTGGGAGTCCTAGCTTAATTGATGACCGCATCAAACCAAAACCTAGGGAGCCCAAGTCCATCTAAGTCGAGAAAAGAAATAACCCAAGATATTCCTCCCTCCCTATCGTCTCCATTTTGATTTCAATTTTTTTATTCATTATCCTTCTTATGTATTGTATTTTTCATCCACATTACTGTTTTTCATTTTCCTTTCACAGAATTCAGATGGCAATAAACAATCTCATCATGCATCCACAATCTTAAACCACCTTATTTGATTGCATCAATAATACACACACAAACTTATAACTTATATAACTAGAGACTTAAGGAGAAAGCATTCTCACCTTCTTGCTCAAATATTTTTGCAAGTTCATTTGGAGGTAGGAGTGTCTGCGAATTATCTAGTACCTGCAATAAAGAGAACACCCACACATCTATCTACATAAGGTGGTAAAAAGCACAACGACATCAAAAATATAACGTCAGCTCCAATTTCTATAAATAAAACTGCAGGTTCTTACAGTCTTGCTTTTTTGGGAAATTCATCAAAATAACCATAAGAGAACTATTTAACATTCTATCCCTTTGCAACTATTCCAACTCAAGATCATGTGTCTTCTATGAGTATTTAAAATTTAATGAAAAGATATGGGTAAGGTATTATATTGTTCATCTCTCATGGGTAATTTCATAAATCCCTGCTTTTTATCATGAGCATTGATCTTATTAATCCGATGATGGAAACAATGCCAACCAAATGGTTTAGCTGCTTGTAGTAGTTAGGCAGTCTTCAGACACAAAGAAACAAGCATCATAAAAAATTTACCACTAAAAATTCAACAGGTATTGCTGTGATAAACATTGAGAAATCCAAGCCATAAATATCATAGAGAGAGAGAGAGAGAGCAGTGCTGCTGAATTTCATTTTTCACAGCACAGGAATTACGAAGCCCTCTAATAAGTGTTTGACACAATAGTAATGCAAAAAGATTTTTGCGTGGCTAACGTCATCGAACCATGTGGTGTTGGAATGACATATTTCCCATGAGAATTGTTCGTGCTAATGAGGAAGACATAAATAGACAAATAATCTTATTGTGGACAAGTATGAGGGATGCCTTTCTTTGAGCTATTAGTGCTAACAACTGAGAAATTCTTCCAGAGAACAAACCCCGCAATGCCAAGAAATATGATCGCATCTAGAGGTTGTGGCATCATGGAAATTTGCATGCTACTTGTGCAGTACCAGGTTCTATGGTCACAAGTGAGGATAAGTATGAGGGCCTGAAACGGATACCACTTCATTTGTTGAAGCATGCAATAAACATATAACTTAGACGATATGACCCTTCGCTGTTTCTAGGTTTCTGTTTCTAAACTCCGCTATTTCTTTTTATTTGCATTTTCCTTAGTTTGGGTTTCACTAATGCACAACATGTTCAGCACTGTACTTATTAACTGTGTTGTTTTATTATTTTTTAGTGAATTGCAACCTTGGTTTTTGTCTGTAGTGTTTATGTTCATTTTCTACCTGGCCAAAAGGAATACATTTGCTGCCTGGTACATGACCGCTTCGTATTCCTTTTCGAGGCTCTGGAACCATGCCATCAAATCTGCAACCACAAAAAAGATTTCATTTTGGTTACATGAACACAATGAGAATCAAGATGAGTCGTGACAGACTTTTAGAACTTCATAAACATCAGGGGAGCCATACACTAAGCAAACCACCTGAAATTGTAAGCTCAGATGGTATAGATCTCTATCAATCAACCTTGGGAACTAGAGTGCATCTAAGTGCCCAAATCCCTAATGCCCCAATTGTTTAAAAACCATGAATTTCAACCAGAAAAAGCTTGATTGAGCAATAATTTGAGCATTTATATACACATAGATAAGCTTCAATATAGCACGGTTAGTGTACTACATGGTCCTTGAATTTATACCACCCTTATAGAAAATATAACTCCATAATAGTTTCATAGCTTGTAAATTTCCGTTTCAACCAACAATTTGGAAAACAAGGAATTTATACAGATATTTATACAGAACTCGATGTCCTTGCCATGGATCCATGAAATGGTGCACTTCAAAAGTTCAAATAAAAATAAATATGGTGCACTTCAAAAATATGTCTCTTGCAAACTTACATGTGCCAAACTAGACATATTGTTTAAGGGGCTTTATTTGTAGAAGGCAAAGCACTACTTTGAGAGTGTTTCGTCACAACCAGCAAAGCAGTCGCTCAGTAGCAAGTGCTTCACTTTTTGACTAGCAAAAAGCCCTTGCTTAAGAGGGCTTTCACAACACTTCACTACACATCAAAGCATTGGCTTGGGGTACGCTCTTTGCTTGTTCAGCTAACCATTGCTTCTGGCTAATGTAGCTAATTATAATGCACTAGTAGGGGATGAACTAAGCACATAACTATTGTACCAAAAGATGATTTCCTAAATGCTACAAGCTAACACAGTTTCGCTAAGCATCTTCGAAAGACACCAGATTAGTACTTCCAAATTCCATGCATCTCATATCTCCACTTTGCTGTCCTGTCCCAGTCCAAACCCATTTCTCATAACAAAAATTGGTATGGCTTGATTTCAGAGCAGGTTAGCATTCTACTCTATTTTAGCATAAGTGTGCATACATATGATCATATATGGAAGACTATAATCACATGTATGGTTCAAAAATCCTCCATATACAGATATTTCATATAATTTTTGTGGACATAACCAAATTTAAATAATCACATGTGAAATACAACTATATGCATTTTGTCTGTGCAGAAGTAAATGCTGCTGAGTTTAGAAATGAGGAGGAAAAATAGTAAACAGATAAGACACTATGGAAGTTTGCACTTCACTGATGGAGGTATCATACCTGGCCTTTGACCTTGCATCAATATGTTGGTAAGATTTCTCTTCGATGTTTTTTTGAACCTGACACATGAGAAAAGGACTCCATCAAATCACCAACTCCATTAATTCGTAGAAAATCCAAATTCCAAACATTGTTAAGAATAAGACAAAGAAAGCATAGTAAAAAGGTCTTATCCCAGACGTATGAGTATCTTTGCATTGAGAAACATAATTCATATGAGAAGTAATAAATAAAGAGCTGAGCATCTTCGATTAATATCACATACTTTTACTATTCAACCCTATCATAACTTTGTCGTTTTTCATTTTTATATAGGAATTTCCTGGACTTCTTTGGTACGTATGACCATGCATTATTTCATTCAAGCAAATTGGTGAACAATTGACAATTTAACGCTTACTCAAGAAATGAAAAGGTAAGCCCTCTACTTCATGAGAGGAAACATTTACAGAATCTAAAATATAGGTTGTTTTGCGCCAAGAAGGAAAGCATCAATGGCCATCTCTTAGACCATGGATATCTTCTTTCTTTGGCATCCCTTTTTTTTTTTTGACTCTTTGTCTTTGTTTCTGTCTTTCATATTATGGTTGTGACTACTCCAATGTCAAAAAAATAGTACATATAATTATCATTAATCTTAAACATGTATGGTTGGAATTCAGAAAAACAGCTGAATCTCTAGCTACGCCAGAGGGCTACAGCTCCAGCTTTTGTAACTAATCTCCACTTTTTCCTGAGTGGGAATTTAGCTGATCCAGACTTTTTTTCTCTTTTTGCTATATGCAAAGTTTGTATATAGCTGTATGCTGCCCTACCTGAGAGGCAGTCCCAAGTTTTGCATCATGTATGCTACTTTATTAATATTATAGAGTCAACAAATATCCTAGAAAAAATAAAAGAAAAAGAAAAACAAAAGAAAGTACAGACATGGATTTGAATTAGCTCCTCCTAATCGTCTTTCTCCCGAGATGAAAGAAAAGATAGGTAATTTGTCTTTCTTTCCAGAGTTATCGCCCTACTAAAAAAAAGATTCTTGTGATAGGCCTTGTTCCTGGTCAGAAATATAATGAAATTCTCTTTCCGATCCTTTCCCCGGATCCCGCTACTAAGAAAGAAGTTCACTTCTTGAAATATCCCATACATGTAGGTGGGAATAGAGGAAGGGGCAGATTTATCCTGATGGGAGCAAGAGTAACAATACAGTTTATTATGTCTCAACATCAGAGATAATAAGTATAAGAATACGTAAAGAAAAGGGTGGATATTAAAAAGGAACCATAGCTAAATTAGTGTTATTGATTGTCTGTGTATATTTCTTTAAGTCACCACTCAAGTCTACCAGATGGTCTACTATAGTAGACAGCTGTATTCATGTGCCTACTCAGCTTCCAAGAGCAGACTAAATCCTTTTTTTTTTAGAATGTTAAACTCTTTTTGAGAGAGAAATTTGAGAATGCTAACCTTTAATTAGTAGATAAAAAGAGTACAACGAAAAACAAAGAATAGGCTATCCACAGGGCGGAAGCTCTATGTACAAAAATGCCCTAGAAAGGGAGGTGAGACAGTAGAGTAAAAAAACCATCTTTTTAAAAGTTACAATGACATAGTAGCAAAGCAACCAACAAAAAGAAGCCGAACCCAAAACATCGATCCTATAAACCATCCTGGGTCGCCGCCTCCTTAGAGAGAGTATCTGCTGCCTGGTTTGAATCTCGCCAGGTATGCCTCCATAAGACGTGCATAGCAAAGGTGGTTAATCTCATAAAAAATTATGAGCCAAACCGGCGGGGGGGGGTTGAGAATTTGTAGCCCAGGCAATAACATTCTTGGAATCTCCCTCTATAATAATAGACTCTATCCTGTGAGGATGAAGAAGCTTGAGGCCCTCAAGTAGCGTTGTTTTTAGAAATGGAGGCGATAGTTGAGCCAGAGTGGTTCCTGAGAATGGCACCAATTCCAGCAGGCCCGGGATTTCCCAAAGAGCAACCATCAAAGTTTAGCTTGAATTGGGCCGGATCTTGTGGTCTCCAATTTGGCGCCCAAGGTAGGCGCTTTCGACTATGCTGGAGGGTAGCAGCCCAGTCCTGATAAAAGACTGAAGGAGGGACCCCTTTAAAACTTTTGTGGTTGGTTGCCCAAAACACTACCGAGGATTTAAGCTTAAGGAAAGTATTGTACCATGAGGAGGGCTCTCCCCAAAAGATCCTATTGTTTCGCTCTATCCATATGGCCCACATAGAGGCTGCCACCCCAGATTTCCACAACAAAATACCTGCTTTAGGCCAAGGGAAAGGTTGGAGGGAGGTAGAATAAGGGGTACAGTGGCTGGTAGCACCCACTGAACATTGAAGAGGCGAAGAAGTTCTCCCCAAATCTTAAAAGCAAACGGGCAGTGCAAGAACATGTGAGCATTAGACTCCTCATTGGCCAAACAGAGAACGCACCGATTAGGTATGGGGATTCCTCTTCTTTGAAGCTGGTCAACCACGAGCGCCCTCTCGGAGAGAGCTAACCACATGAAGACCTGAATTTTAGGAGGGGTAAAAGAGGACCAAGCTTGGGCTACAATAGAAAAGGGAGATGGGGGGAATGTGGGTGGTTGGACAAGGTTTTGGTAAAAAGAGGAGACAGTGAATGCCTCTGAGGTACTCGGGGTCCAAATAATACAGTCCAGTCCCAGTACGGCAATAAGAGCAAACTAAATCTTGTTGCAAGAGATGCCAATATAGTCAAGATGTTGTGCGACAAAGCATAAGCCTAGAAATGGAGATTTACAAATTAGTCCGTGCATGAATTCAAATATTCCTTTACAAATCACTTGATAAAGATGACACTGGTCATAGGGACAAAACGTTATGCTCTTGTGCATGGGTTTTTAATGATTGGACAGTTCATAATACTCTAAAAACAAAGGGAAAAACCTTATTATTCGTGTCATTACTGTTTGTTGAAATGATGAATGGTTGCAAAGGAGAGAGGGACCACCAGAAGGCATGCTGTTATTTGGGATAAAGCATGTTGTTATTCTTTTTCCTTTGGGGTAAAGCATGATAAGGAAGCTCTTCTGACAATCATAACACAAACATTTGATCCAAAAACCTACATTTTATATCAAGCGTTATTTAGTTGTTTAGAATTCTCACACGAAATAACTAAAAAATATTAACTAATATGGCTACTCATATGAAATTCAAAGTTTTTTTTCTATTTTCTTTTCATCTTCTAGACTGGTCATATATAAGTCATTGGATCAAGTTGCATCATAAGGTGCAGACAATTCATGGCTTCAATAGACCAATAGAAAATTCTTGCAAATTCACAAGACTTCTGAAGTAATTCCATAGATTCTCACTGAATTGCAGTCAGTAGTATTGCAAGAAATATACCGGTACGTATAAACTCTAGCCTAATGAAATGTTATATAACAAAGTCTTACCTGTTCCAAAGTCCAAACTAGATGTGGCTGGAAATTTGTGACGAATGTACTCAGGCCAACCTGCAAAAGGATATGATTTGAAAGATAAAATGTAGCACAGAATAGAGTACCTTTACCACGTGCTATGATTTCCTATCAAAAGCCCAAGGAATTCATTGTTTTATAGAGGAAACTTAACCAAGAAATATGAATGTTTTAATACGATTCAGTCAACAGAAACTCATTCCACATTTCCACACTGAAGAAGAAAGCAGAACATCACGACACTACCAACAAGTATTTGCAGTGTAAATAAATCACAATTACAAAATAAGGGTAGGTGACTGTCAGGTCACCAAAGTAGACTCTATTTTACGTCTTTCTCTAGGGGGGTAAGGAATTATCTCCTGAATGCCATCAAGGTGGGTGTGTAACCTTTCGAAAAATCCATAGGAGGCTATACAATGTGCTCTACTATGGAATAGACTTACGCAAATAAGGGCCCTAGAGTTCATCATATTATTAGGAAACCAAAGATGTGGATGATAGATGGACATGCTTGGTGAGTGGAATCAGTCACTACGATTAGATGTTAAATTGAGAATGACCTGCAGGATATATTGTTTACAAGAACAATGATTGACTAAACGTAAGGCTTCTGTAATGGAACTCCGAATTATCAAATTATTCGAAGAATCACAAGACCTAGCCACTCAACTGCATGGTCTAAAGAGAAGAATCAAATAATATCCTTACCAAAGTGAAAGTGATATGAGGAAAACATTTATAGGTGGCACCATTAAAGGACGGGAAAATATACAATACACAGACTGCATATGGTATACAGCATGCAGCAGGGCACCGTTGAGACTGTAACCGACCACTTGGAAGAGTTAGCCACCAGTGAACCACAGTCGGTCTCCACCACCAATGGTATAAGAACCAATGGTGGATGCCCCAGCTGTATAGCATATATCATACACAGTCTGCACATCGTGTATTTTCGCCAAAGGAAACAGAACAAAGAATGCATATTTTGTAAGGGTAAACATATACATAAAAATTGTAAAATGGGGTGTTGGGTATTACCACTTGTCCTTGATAAACTTTTTCTATTGCTTCACTAGCAGCGCTTGCTTTCAAAATTGCATCTCCAGAGGCACTCGATTCTACATCATATCCTGAAGCACGCCAACGTGGCAAACCTCCATCAAGCACCCAAACTTTATCATGTCCAAACACTCTAAACATCCTATTCAAGTTTGAGAACGAATCAGAAGCATGATACGGGAGAGTGAGAGTATTCAATATTCTTAGTGCTATAGGACCATACCACCATACACGAGCAGCACTGAATATGCCCTTGCCATCATAAACAACCAACCCATCTTTATTGTGTATGCCAAGAGCAGAAACGGCAGCAGCAAAGGCTTCTTCAGAAGGAAGCATGTGTGGCAACTGATTCAAGATGCTAATGTTAGAAAATGGTCATATTCCATTCTAAATCAAAACATTGGACGATTATCAGGATATCGAAATTTTCATTGAAACTAACGACTTATTACCCACTGAGTTAGTAATGGCACAACCAGTCCTGAATATGCTTAAAATATGAACTGTAGATTATATCTGTGTCTGTGTGTTACATATGAATACATCACAGTAATTCATGATATCCAAATGCCACCAACTATCTCTCAAAATATCCTTCTCATACACTTCTCGTTGCTCCAAGATCCCAATCTTTCTTACAATTGTCACAGCATTTCAATCTTCTTAAAATAATACAAAGGTCTCCCATTTTAGTAAGGGAAATTTGTCAAATTACACCTCACTTTTCAAGTTTTAACATTGCACCCCTTTTCTACTATTCCAACTCAGAATCATCTGTATTTTGCTGGGTATTTTGAAATTAAATCAGAAGTGATGGGTAAATGTTAGTAGTTAATACCTTAGCTGTATTTTGACAAATTCCCCTTTTACTAAACACAGCTAACATATCCCTAGAATTTAACCCTGTAACTTATTATTTCTAGCATTTATTTAGGTTCTTTAAAAAAAAAAAACTAAGAATACTTCTGAAATGCTAGAGAGGGGTGGAATTTAAATTTTTATAGTCTAACAGACACATCAGAAAAGGAACAGTGAGCATTCATATATTGGCACATATTTACACTTTTGCAGGCTAGTTTATAGAGTTTAGTAACACATGTTTCTATGCATATCTAGTTTTCCAAGAATAAATAGTTATAGGCTATCTTACAGGATCTAGCAAGTTATATGTCCCTATACATAATGTTTAAGACATTCTCGGCTCAATACTGTTAATCTGAAAGGAAGAGAGATAAATAAGATTAGGAATATCATCTCACGTTAGAGGTTCGATCTGATATCCCATCCACATCAAAAAAAAGAGCTCCAGGAATATGAGCCACCTGCATTAAAAACAAGAGTTAAGCTATACTAATCAAAGTTCCCGAAACCAACAAAAGTCAATATTTGGAAAGAAAAAGGAACTTCTTACCGAGAAAGCAGGCTAGATGGCTAAAAATAGCTCATTAAATATTTATATGGGAACATAAAACTATGGCAATAGAGGCATACAGATTGCTATTTTCATAGAAATTCAGGAGAAAAGGACAAACCATAAACCATATTAAAATAGGTTCATAAATCTTTTCTCCAATGTGTTGCCTTTAGTGAGAACTATTGCCTATTTTAGTTAACCTATTTCCTTTCTTAGTTTCACAAAATCAAAACTAACAACAGTGGAAAATTTCATGGGCGTTAGTTAATATAACTTCAGGAAAAGAAGTAGAACCAAACACCACTTCAACATAGACCACGGAAAATGCATTATTTATAAGCAATAAATGTACTAGAAACAGAATCATGAAGAAACAAGCTCCGGGAAATCTTTAACTTAAAAAAAGAAATGATACTATTCCATAAGCACCTGGTACTCTTGAAGGGGGTTACGCTGCTCATCAGGCATATACCAAGAAGCATCCAATACCTAGAACCACAAAAGAATACTAAAAAGATTAGATAAGAGTAAATACCAGCCACATTCAGCCGTATTATTACACACGCTTCTCCCAGGAGATAATTTGTATCAAGATAAGTAAAAGTAGAAGTGTTACAGCAAAGTCGGTGACTTTTTCCTTTTACCCTCAACATTATCCAATTCAATTTCCCTATTGGTCAAGACTCACCCATTTCAATAATCAATGTATTATTTATTGATAGATAAGATCACCACTGAAGATCTCATTAGGCTATCTTTATCTGTTCATTTATAATTCCTCATGCAAAAAACACATGCAATAATCACAGATTTTTTATTGGACACAATCATGCCTATTTGTGTTCGTGCAAGTGCGTTTGTGTGTGTCAACACACATAAACACAAAAGAACACTTTTTCACACATGCACGTATGAGTTTCCATACGAATCTATGAATGTATGTGCATGAGCAGCAAGGCACATGGGCATACATGCGCCATGTGCAGGTCCACATACAAGATTACAAACATAAATGGTGCACATGTAGAACCATAAGACACCAAATATATATATGTCTATGCATGTATATATGTTGCATATGCAAATGTACAAATGTATATATGTATGTATGTGAAGACACAATTGTGTCATTGTGTTTGTAAATGCTTTGTCTTTCAGTCTGACGTATATATGTACATATGTGAAGGCACAAATGTGTCATTGTGTTTGTAAATGCTTTGCCTTTCAGTCTGACTTCCATTTCGAAAAATGAAAACATAAAACAAGCACATGGAGATATCATGAAAGGCCATGAAAATTGACTTGAACATAAAGTATGATTAAAAAGATAGGAGGACAGACTGGATCACAATATGATGTCATTTCTGTAATTCCACATGAGAGAGTAAATATATACTAAAATCAAAGGATGATAGTGGCAAAAGTAAGGAAATGAGAAAGAAAAACGGCATAAAAACAGAGAAAAAGAACAAGAGGTAACGAACCTTAACATTGGGCTCCCTAAGATTTTCATGGAGCCAATCAACTGAAACAACAGGCTCATTTGTTGCCATGGATTGGGTTGAAAAGGTGGCTCTTGCTCCCTTATGAGTCAAAGCAGCACTGATATAACAAACAAAACGAGGTGCTGATGATACCAAGGAGGACGGTTTCACAAGATTATCAATAGATTTCCTCTGCAAATAAGTAAAATAAGTAAAGGCAACAGTAAATCAATCACGCCAAAACAAGATAACAGTGAATTAAGCCCATAATTAAAGATTGTTTGTTTATTACAAAGAAGGGGGGGGGGGCTCCTTCTCTATGCTGCCAAGAAACTCAGACATCATTATCTGATTGTTTCTTAAATAACAAGTTCAAACAGTCAAGGCCAATGAAATGACTAACACCGTTTAGGATCAAGCAAAAAAAACATTTATCCAAAAGCCTCATAATAAACAAAAAAAAAACCCAATAATTCAATCGATAATGGAACTGTTTTTCTACAGCATATACTGCAATTGGGTCACGAAAATGGAAGACCCACGAAGGAAAAAGCTTAAGTATAGCTGCTTATTAGTAAATAACGAAATTAAGCACAAAAACATGATACCCAAGAGAGAGGGATACCTTAAGGAAGGAAGAATATAATTGTGGGTTGTGTGTGTGAAGAATTGCTGGTCGGATTGATCGGAATCCGCCAAACGCTCTGGTCAATAAGGAACCGGCCATCTATGTCTAGAGAGAGAGTGATTGAAGAGGAAGAAGAATAATATGAAGCTTTTATAGCAATATCTAGAGAGAGGAAATGATTGACAGAGAAGAAGATGAAGATTTGGAAGGTTTTATAACACAATATTGTGAGGATTGGAATGGGAGGGATTCATTTCCACCATGGTTGAAGCAGCAGGGGGGAATGGAGAAGCAACCACTTGAAGTGGGGTTTATGAACAAGAGCCCCCATGGCCCCATCCATCTTAAGCCCTTGTTAGCGTTACCCGATGGTGGAGTTTCCCTATTTAAAAATAGCTAAGGTTGGCCCGGCTCGGCCCGGCCAGCTAGGCCGGGTCGGGCTCAAATTTTTAGGGCCTAGGCCACATAGGGCTGGACAACCGCAACCGAGGGAAAGACCAGCCTAGGCTCAAGCCGCGACTATCCTGGCCTGGCCCTCTTTTTATTTTCTTGAGCATCAGCTGGCCCAATAAGTCATTGGGCAGGACTGGGTCGTGCCATTTCCGATCCCAATAATATTTCCCTATAACTCATGGACTCACCGTGACTGAAGGAAAAGTATAAAGTGGGACCATTTATCATTAGTATAAGGTATGACCATAGTTCGTAAAATCGGCCAGTTAGAATGGGAACCGACCGTTTAGATCTCTACCGGTGGGGTGGCGATTTCAGTTAGAGCTGGTTTTGCGGTACACATGGTAAGATGAACTCTCTAAAAATAATCAGGGCCAAAACCGATCGGTTCAATGTCAAACCGACGGTTTTTCTTCAAAACCGACCGGTTTTCCTAACCGGCCCGATTTTCCTAACCGGCCCGGTTTACTATTGCTTTTGTACATTATAACGCCGTTATAACGCATAAAATAACGGCCATTATTTGACACATACTCGTTATTTTTACAGAACAAGATTTTGCAAGATTTTTTTCTTCCATTTTGTAGCTTTTTTTTGTTTTTTCAGTCAAATATTGATGTTATACACCATAAAGTTTATGTATATTATCTATTATTGAATCAGAAGTCGAAAAACAAAGAGTTTGTGGCAGATTGAAATGGGGATTTTAAAAATTAGAAATTTCCGCCATTCTATCAAATGTAACTTTAATACCTCGTAGATTGTCATATAAATGGAGGGCTTTGATTGATTGTTGAAGGATTCAATGTTTACATATTTCAATTTTTCCAAAACGATGAAGATTTGAGGTTTTTTTGGGCTGGAAGAACTGCTGCTGGAAGAACTGTTTTTATCCAAAAAAAATTGATTTATGATCGATCAATTGATCGATTTTTATCGAATTAATCAATGAATTTTGATCATAAAGTCCTTATCTATCAAATACACTAGTTATTTTGATTTACTATTGATTACATTTTTTTATATCAATTTTTTTTGCTGTGTTTTTTCCTTAAATTTCTGTGAAGTAACAAATTCGTAATTTTTTGAATAAAGATCTCAAAAAATGAAAGATTTGGGGTTGATTTCGACTTTAACGTTTATGTAATCTGTGGCTCGATTTTAGGGTTCTTAAAATAAATTTTTTTAAATAAAATTACATTTTGTTTCAATAAAATTATGAAAATTGTGATGAATATGAGAAGAAAAAAAAAAGAATATATATTTTTGGTGAGCTTGTTGGATTGCTTTTAATGTTATATATTTTTTTTACAAAAATATGTTTATTTGTGATAAATATGATGAAGACATTTGTTTCTTCTTAATGTTATACATTTTTGGTGAGCTTGTTGAATTGTTTTTAGTGTTTTATATATATTTTTTATAAAAATATTATTTGGTGATGAATATGAGAAAATTTTTATTTCTTTTTAAGCTTATTTTTGGTGTATGTTACTGATGTCTGTGTTCTCAACTTCTTGTTTAGTTGTGACATTTTTTAATTTGTTTTTTTATTTGTTACAAGTTATCTATTATTTGTTGCAACTTCATACTCCTTAAATTTGTTTATTAGCCTCTATGAAAGAAAGAGGTAGAAACTAAAAAGTGTCTTGCTCATCTCTCATGTTTCCACATGCTGAAATTGATAAAAACTTAACCTGTTTTTTTTTTAATTTTAAATATGCATCTTAATTGTACATTTTAAAATTGCCATCTTATATAAAAAAAAAAATTTCATGTTAAAACCCAACTCAAAAGGTTACTGAGTAAATGAGATTTAGCTATTTCAAAATTGATTTGGTCATTTGAAAATCGATTTGGCCATTTGAAAATCGACTTGGCCATATTTTTTTAAAATATGCGATTTGGCCATTTGAAGCAGCAACTTAACACCTTGACCCACACCCTTTGCATTTGATAACCAAGTTACTAAGTAAATGAGGAGCTCTTACTACCTTGACTGGGAACATCATGCTACAAAAAATACACGCTCAAACCCAGTTCTAAACCGTATTAAAGGGTTTTTCAACATTAAAACCACATTTTTCAACATCAACATTTAAACAATATAGAAGCATATATTGTTGCATCATCCATTGTTAGTTAGACTTTGTAACTTCGCCCATTGAATTTATGTGAAATTATAAATTGTCTTGCATTTTTTCATAATATTCAAATATTAAATTATTTAAAAAATTGTATCAATTTTTTTTATAAGATAAATGTATGTAATATGATGGTGTATACTTAATCTAAGTTTTTCTATTTGTTTTTAATTTTTTTTGGGGATTTTGACTCATTTTTTTTAAAAAAAATCTACTTGACCGGTTAGTCCAGTTAACATCTCCGGTTCGAACCGCTCCCAGCCTCATGACCGGTTAACCGTTCCAGTTCGATTTTGCGAACATTGGGTATGACCATAAATATGAAATTGGGTTTCCATTGATTAGGTTTAAACTTCAAAAAAAATAAATTATCAACACAAGTTATCAGATTTTACATCACATGGTCATCATATGTAATTGTGATCTCATTGCACCAATGATAAATGGTCTAATTGTATACAACCCCATACTAAATTGCCTTCTCTCTAGATAAAACCTTGAATGAGGTTTTTTATCGAGGTTGTATTTCATTATTTCTAAACCTGCAACAATCTCTCTCTTTATAAAACCTCTTTAATGAGATATCATTAAAATTGCAAAAGCCTAAATCTTTTAAATTATTATTTTATAGTCAGTTTGGATGACAATTAATTTTACTTAAAATATCATCTCTAAAATGAATATATTGTGAATAATATTATTTTATTATTTCTTTAGTACATATCATATATAATATTATTTAATTATTTAAATTTTGATATTTTATTTTAGCTAAAAATATGTATTTTTAGTAAGTCAATTTAAATAAATTAAAATTATATTTTTAAAATATAAGCACATGCGTAAAACTGTCTAGAAGTTCATCATAGATAACTTTACCATAAATATTACCAAAATAACACATAATTTCTTATCAAGATTAATTTTATTGAAATCGTGAATTATTAATGATATTAAAACCATCCAAATATGCCTTAAAAATATCCTTTCATTGAAGTACCTTAGTGCTTTATTAAAGGGAAAATTTTTTAAGTGACTTCACTTATATATATAATTTAAATGTGACCCCACCTCTCCGCCTTTCGATCTGAATAGACAGCTATGATTGCTCATGTTACAATGTATAAACATGATGGTGCATCCCTAGTGTGAGGGAATACCCAAGTGGGTCACATTCCCTTCATGTTTGACTTACATTACAACATGAAGGGACGTGGGGAGAGGTTGCTCCTCTTTGCGAGGGGGTTACCCTCCCATGAATAGCATGCACCATGCACCATAAGGGTGCCCATTCATGAGGAGGTTACTCCCTCATGAATGAGATGGTCATTTCTCTTATTATAAAAGGAGAGGGGTGGAGGTCTCTACACATACTACCACACACACACGTGAAAGGTGTGAGAGCCCCTATTGTGAGAGAGAATGAGTAAAATTCTTCTCCCATTCGAGTTTTAAAGAAAGAACCATCCTTGAGAGATAGAGTTTTGCGTGAGAGTCGAGCTAGGACTGCTCCTATCGCATTTTGTGAGAGTGTTTGTGAGCTTCCACCTAGCTCGAGATTTGTGGTCTGGAACAGATTTCGACAGTTCTAGTAGTTGTCGAACGTGCCTACAGGAGTTGATCAATCATCTCCACAAACATTCGTCAAAATTGTTATGCGAGCACTCAAGTATGATACCCAGGTCCCGATTGTTTTATTTTGCTTTCGCTTCAGCCGTTGGATTGTATTTTTCCAATACAATGTCACACCAAAAAGTTGTTTGATTTTTCAGGTTTTTTATAAAACCTTTTTGAGTGAAATTTCAAGCATCTCATCTTCTTATTGGGGCACACCTAGCCAAAAAAAAAACATATTTCTCATAAAATAAATGATAAAAATGCCCACAAAAGTTTCAGGTGTATTTTGGCAGCTTCTCATCAAAGAAAGTATTTTTTATTATTTTTATCCTGTGCGCCCTTATCAGATGTATGCGTGCACTAAATTTCGTTACAAAACGATTTATGAAATCATTGTCTTCAAATATTATTTCCAACTAATTGAGGTCGGCTACACAATTCCAAGCCTATCATTCTACTCTATTAGGGGTTATACCTTCAGTGAGGCCATAAACCCTTTTATCTTTTCTCACTACTGCCAACCATGTATTTATGAGTCTACCTTTTACTTTTTTTTAGTATTCCACTTGAACAAACTCACACCTCATGACAAGTGTTATATTAGGTTTGTGTCACATATGGTTAACCCACTTAAGCCTACTTTCTCTCATATTATCGTCCATTGATATCACACCTAAATTCTTTCAAATGTATTCAATTCGAATTCTATCATTTATTGTCATGCCACTCATCCTCCTTAAAATCATCATCTCAGCTACACTCATTATATAATTATGTTTTTTATTAACCGCCCAACATTCTGCCCCACAAAAAGCATAGTTGGTTTCACAGTTGTCTTATATAACTTTCCCTTCAACTTCATTGGTATATTGATAATCATGTAAAACTCCGATTGCATTTATCCACTTTGCCCAACCCAACTCTAATTTTATGTGCGACATCTTCCTCAATCTCTCCATTTTTTTATATTATCGATCTAAGATATCAAAAGTGCTATCTTTTTAGTATTTATTAGTTGTCAATTTTAACTACTTCCTCGTCTCTACTCCTATTATTATTAAACTTGCATTCCATATACTCTGTCTTAGTCTTACTAATTTTAAAATCTTTAGATTCTAGCGTATCCATCCTAAACTATAACTTTGTGATTGA